ATTGTGACATCCAAATTGTTCTACTGCGATAAATATTTTGCTATGATTATTTAATAAAAATGTATCTCCTATGCCGTAAATGTAGAACTAGGATTGATAATCTATATTTTACCAAAACTCATGAACCTGCAGAAAAAGAAAACATTGGTTTTTAAAACATTTTGGAAATGTTAAAAACTGTTTTTTGAATAAATAAAATGTATTTAACTCAAACTGAACAGGACTGTTTTAGTGGGATGAGCATCCTCCCAGGCTTCTTTCCCAGTCACACATTTATTAGGAAATAAATCATAGTTCTCGTTCCTTCTATTGATTCTCACCATTCCATGCAGTATAAGTTCTCTCTCGGCTTCCTAAAATGAGATATATCATAGTCACCGTATTCCAAGAGAATGACAGTTTCTAGCTGGGGAGGACAGATTTAGAAGTAGTGTAGTGGTGAATGATGATCTGGTGATTATCCAGCCATGTTCGGGTCTCCCTGTTCTTTGACATTTCATCCCAGACTAGTGACACTTACGGGTGGCATTTATATGAAACAAACCAAGGAAGCTTCATGCAGAAATCCAGATGTCCCACTGCTTAGAGGACAAAGACCTCTATCCCTGGCAAAACAACTTTGAAATTTATTTGGTTGGGCTGCTTTCATAAATTCTAAGAGGCATGCAACTCTGATGCCCCTCATTTTCTGGAACGCTTAACCAAGTCAAGTTTATTGTTGACTGTAGACACAACTTGGGACAGTTCATAAAAGGGGAATAGGTAATAAGCAGACAGCTAGGCTTTCAGAACCAGAACATCCTTCTCATGGGCCAAATGAAGCCCCAGCTACAACAGGGGATGAGATTTAAATGTCTGTGATAAAACAAAAATAGCACCAAACTAACACCAGGCATGACTGACATTGCAGGAAACTCCCCTTGGAGTTGGACTCACAATCACGAAGAATTGATGAAAAGCCAGATTGACTCAAAAAAGTCTATTCTGAAAGAGAGACGAAAAAAGCTGACAGGTGGATATTTATCCACTCTAAAAATTAACTATATATACCATACAAACTACCCAATAAGGGTGAATTTAGCGTACACTTAGTGAGTACTCAGCATGTGCCAGGCACTTTCTTTTCTCCAGTTTTGACAGCATCTACTTGAGCCATCAGGGGGCCAGTGGCCAGGTCTGTTTCTCCAGCTCATTTGTCTCCTCTGAGTCTCAAACCTTCTAGAATTATCCTCTTTGATGTACTTTAGATCTTCCACTCAACAGAAGTCAAAACTGACCTTTAACTTTTCTTCAAAAGTGATTCCTTCCACTGTGTTCTCTATTTGCCTGTGAATGAATCTTAGGGGGCATGTACAGTTGTTCCCTGTCCGTCCCCCTTACCAAGCCCTGGTGATTCTGCCTCACACGTAGCTCTTCAATCCCTCCCTTTCTATACTTAGTGCAGCTCCTCAGGTCTCTCCCATGAATAGTAAATAGCCTCCTACTTGGCTCTTTGCCATCAGGTTCAACCCCCTTCAGCCCACCCTCCACTCACCACCAGTGTCATTCACCTGAAAATTAGATCTGATGTCACTTACCTGCTTAAAACTTTTTTATGGTTGTCATCTCAAGGGTAAAATTCAAAGTTCTCTTAAAAAGAATCATAATATTAATAATAGCTAACATTTATTAAGTGCTTACAGTGTACCAGGCATAAATCTAAATCCTTTATATAGATTAACTTCTTATTTTCACAACACACTATGAGGTAAGGACTATATCCTCATCTAATTTTTTTTTTTTTTTTTTTTGAGACGGATTTTCACTCTTGTTGCCCAGGCTGGAGTGCAATGGTAGGGTCTCAGCTCGCTGCAACCTCTGCCTCCCGGATTCAAACAATTCTCCTGCCTCAGCCTTCCAAGTAGCTGGGATTATAGGCACGCACCACCACACCTGGCTAATTTTTGTAGTTTTAGTAGAGACAGGGTTTCACCATGTTGGCCAGGCTGGTCTCGAACTCTGCCCGCCTTGGCCTCCGCCCGCCTTGGCCTCCCGAAGTGCTGGGATGACAGGGGTGAGCCACCACACCTGGCCTATATCCTCGTCTTAAAGTGAAGAAACTGAAGCAAGTTTTCTCTCAGTGAATGCTGCATTCCAGTTTTTGTAAACTACTTGCTATACTGCAGTACACCATGATTTATCATACTGCATTTGCTTTTCTCTTTGCCCTGGATACCATTCCCACTTAATTAACCACTCCTTCGAGACGGGACAACACAGTGCCACTCTGGCCCTGTCCATCCCAGAAAACTAATTGCTTCTTCTTTTTGTTGCCATAATCTTACACGTGTATACATAACTCTTCAGGTTTGTTCATGTCTAGAGTACATGTACTGTGTCTAATTTCATATGGATTTGCAAAGATTCAGAATGTTTGGTGGTATATTAGTCTGTTCTCACACTGCTATAAAGATATACCTGAGACTAGGTAATTTATAAAGAAAAGAGGTTTAATTGACACACAGTTCTGCAGGCTGTACAGGAAGCTTGGCAGCTTCTGCTTCTAAGAAAGCTCAGGAAGCTTCCAATTATAGTGGAAGGCAAAGGGGGAACGAGGCATCTCACATGGTGGGAGCAGGAGCAAGAGAGAGAAGCGGAAAGATGCTACACTTTTCACCAACCAGTTGTCACGGGAACTCACAATCACAAGGACGGTATGAGCGTGGGGGTGGAGGGTGGGCTGGTGCTAAATCATTCATGAAGGATCCACCCCCATGAACAAGTCACCACCAGGCCCCATCTCCAACATTGGGGATTATAATTGGTCATGAAATTTGGTAGGGACACAGATCCAAACCATGTCAAGTGGCAATATTGTATGTTCTTTTATCTTGCTGCTTATAACAGCCTTTTTTAAACCCATGGACTTTTGCAACAACAATGCATTTAGGGGCATGTTCACCCTTCGATAGTTATCTTGTTGCCTAGAAAACATTTAATCTGAACACTAGGTATTTCTTTTTTGAATGTAAAACATGGGTCAGCCACTATGGCTGACAGGCCTAATCCAACCCGTTTTAGTAAACCAAGTTGTATCAGAAGATAGCCACACTCATTTGTTTGTGTATTGTCTATGGTTCTCACTACAATAGCAGAGTCGAATAGTTGCCACAGAGACTGTATAGCTCAAAAAGCCCGAGATACTTACTATCTGGTCCTTTACAGAGAATATTTGCTGATGCATGATGTAGAAGATCAAGGGATTGAGTATTGTTTTAGTTCATTTAGTGTTGCTACAACAGAACACCCGAAGCTGGGTAATTTATCAAGAAAAGAGGTTTATTTGTTCACGATTCCGGTGGTTGGAAAATTCAGGCTTGGGCAGCTGCATCTGGTGAGGGTCTCATGCTGCTTCAACTCATGATGGGAAGCAGAAGGGGGATGCACATGTGCAAAGAGATCGTCACATGGCGAGACAGGAAGCAAGAGAGAGACCAAGGAAGCCAGACTCTTTAACAAACTACTCTTGTGGGAACGAATACACTTCTGTGAGAGCAAGAACTCACCCCCTCACCTCCATAGGAGGCCATTAATGTATTAACAACCCAAACTCCTCCCAGTAGGCCCTGCCTCCTAGCATTGCCACATTGGGCATCAAATTCTGACATGAATTTTGGCAAAGACAAACCACATGCAAATCACTGCAAGTGTGTACCAATTTGGTCACATATATTCATGCAAGCATTCATTCATCAATTAAAGCCTTAAAAGCTAGGTATTTATCAGTTATCACAATGTCAACATATTTTATTGCTCTATAGCTGCTTTTTCTTAAAGTGAACCAACTGGGGTCGGGTGCAGTGGCTCATGCCTGTATTATCAGCACTTTGGGAGACCGAGGCAGGCAGATCGCTTGAGATCAAGAGTTCAAGACCAGTCTGGCCAACATGGTGAAACCCCATCCCTACTAAAAGTACAGAAATTAGCCAGGTGTGGTGGCGGGCACCTGTAATACCAGCTGCTCAGGAGGCTGAGGCAGGAGAATCGCTTGAACCCTGGAGGCGGAGGTTGCAGTGAGCCGAGATTGCGCCACTGCACTCCAGCCTTGGTGACAGAGTGAGACTCCGTCTCAAAAAAATGTATTTTTTAAATTTAAAAAATTAACCAACTGGGGAAAATACCCAATCCATTTGGGGTTATAGTGACATGGTTCTATTATAGTTATAACAGGATCAATAAAATCACCTGCAAAAATGTGTTTTATTAAACAGAGCTTTTGTTTCTCATGATGGTTTCTGAAATGAGAATTTTTTTCCCTACATTTACTAACAGAATGATTCTAATAGAGATTGTAGGCCAGGCACAGTGGCTCATACTTGTAATTCCAACATTTTGGGAGGCTGAAGTGGGAGGATCTCTTGAGGCCAGGAGTTTGAGACCAGCCCAGGCAACAGAATGAGACTCCATCTAAACAAAAAAATAACAAAAATTAGCCAGGTATGGTGGCATGTACCTGTAGTCCTAGCTACTCGGGAAGCTGAGATGAGAGGATCACTTGAACCCAGGAAGGTGAAGCTGCAACGAGCCAAGATTGCACCACTGCACCCTAGCCTGAATGACAGAGCAAGACCCCATCACACAAAAAAAAAAAGAAAGAAAGAAAAAAAAGATTATTATAGGGAAAGAAGTATCAGTGTCCAGCCAGGCTCTCATACACTCTGTGATTCAATTTCTTCTCCCGTTAGCAGATTAGAATACATTATCTCAGCATATATGATCTTCCAGCTCAGGGATATCAGGTTTTGTACAACACTTTTTACTTAAATATACATGACATTTTAATCCTTGGCAGATGACATATTAGAGTCATTAACTTGCATTTGTTGTTTAATTAAATGCAAGGTCCTATTGAAATGAATTTGCTATATGTAAGCCATATTTCATGTGTCTAATATAGGCTGTTTATGATATGACATTTGTATTTTTATAAATATATATATATATTTTTTCTTTTTTTACAGAATTATGTTAGAGTTGTGGAGGTTTGGTGGGATGAATATAAAGACTACTTCTATGCTAGTCGTCCTGAATCACAGGCATTACCATATGGGGATATATCGGAGCTGAAAAAATTTCGAGAAGATCACAACTGCAAAAGTTTTAAGTGGTTCATGGAAGAAATAGCTTATGATATCACCTCACACTACCCTTTGCCACCCAAAAATGTTGACTGGGGAGAAGTAAGTAGTCACATCTCAAAGTGTATGTGTTTGTAGACTGAGTTTGGGAGAAGGCAGAGAGAGGTGGAAATATGTGAGTAAGAGAGAAGTATTCTTGGGAAAAAGTTGGGGTAAAAACTGTCTGATAGCATTTACCACCTTTCCACTAAACAGCTACAGCTGCTAGACCCGCTAGCCACCATACTGTCTCCTGGCAGCCTTTGCACATTGGCCCCCTAGCCTGCAACACGTCGACTCTTCACTCCAGCTCCTGGTGTCTCCATGCCCCTTACTCCAACTCCCTTCCTTAACTAATTTCAGTTTATCCTACTGCTCTCAACTTAGAGATCACCAATACTGAAAAGCCCTTCTTACTATTCCCCACTTCATCAAAAAGATGCAGTTCTGTGCTCTTTCCAGGGGTTCTCACAACACCCAAAATCAACCATCTCCCAACCAGTCCGAGTACTTCAGGACCTTGATCACCACTGTGTCCAGGTGGACTGACGCAGGGAACCATATACAATAGACACTCCAACAATGCTTTTCAAATGAATTAAAAATAATTAAAATCAGACAAAAGCATTTTGGCAATCAGACATTGTCATTTCTTTGTTTATTCAAACTTGTCTTCAGACTCACTTCTGAATGCACCCCTCAGCCCCACTGTATTCCTCACAGGTACACTAAACCTTCCATGAACATTCAAGTCTACATCCTCTGCTTAATTATGTTCAGCAAATATTGTTTGAGGGCCTACTATGTGCCAGTCACTCTTGTAGATAGAAAACAAGAGAAGCAAAGTCCTTTTTCTCAAGGAACTGGCATGCTACCTGGGGAGAGAGACCAAAAAAGTCTGAGAAAACAAAAATGATAATGACAGATGGTGATAAATGATAATGACACGTAATACTGTCAAGAGGACTTAAGGACAGGATAAGGAAAGCCTCTCAGAGGAGGTGACATTCGTTCTCAGATCCGAATGATAAAGAGTCAGCCAATCAGAGAGTGGAGATGAAGAGAAGCAGACCAACTGCGGAAGCATAGTTCATCTGGAGGCGGATCCCTTATGGGTTGGTGTGTGAAGGGATAAGGGCCAGAATGACATCGAGGTGGTGGTGGTTGTTTTTTTTGTTTTCTGTTTTTGAGTAGCTGATTAGGTGACTGCTGAGATTGGAAGACAGTAGGGGAGTGAATGGAGGGGGCAAGGCTTCTGTTGGTGTTCTGGGCATGTGAAGTACCTGCTAGGCGCCCAGGTGGAGCCATTAAGGCCTACTGATCATAGATTGTAGGTTGCACGATGCCAAAGTCCAGAAAAGACGCCACTCTGGAGATGTGCATTTGGGGCCATCAGCAGGTAGGTCATTTCATGGGACTGAATGAGGTCACTGAGGGAGAAAATACAGATAGACAAGAGAAGACTAGACCCATCCCTCAGAAAGTTCAGGAATAGAAGGAAAAACCAACAGAGGACACTCATGTTGCTCTCTCTGTACTTCTTGCTTTAAGATACTTTTTCCCTATACTCTTATTTTACCTGTCGTATGACAGCAGAGTATGTTTAACTCCCAACTAGACCATAAACTCTTCAACACACAAATCTCTCTGAGAGCCCAGACAAGTTTATCCAACTGCATGCTTAACTGGCACTTGATTGTCTGACAGGCATGTCACACTCGACATAGCCAAAATTGAACTTCCCGTCTCCTCCCCGCAACTCATCTTTGCTGATTTCAAAACTTTTGAGTCTTCCATGAATCCTGTGTTGTTTGTCTCGCACTTCATATCTAGTTCCAGAATCTGTCCCTTCTTGCCTGGTGTAAGCCACCATCATCTCTCACTGAGACTAACTTGTTGGCTCTCCTACAGCCTATTTCAAATACAGCAGTCAGAGTGACTGTTTTGAAACGAAGGCAAGTCATGTCCCTCCTCTGCTACAAACCCTGCACCTTCACCTCAAAGTGAAGACAGAGTCCTTTCTGGTGGTCTCCAAGATCCACAACATCTGTCCCCGTTCCTGTCTCGCCTGACCTGCTACTGCTCTCCCCACTCCACTCCAGCCCCACGTCCTTACTGGTCCTCAGACTCCCTCCAGGCATGTGCCTGCCCGTGCTGTTCCCTCTCCCTGGAATGCTTCCCTGCAGATACCTGCATGCATGGCCAGCTCTCACATCTCCTTCAAGTCTGCTGACCCACCACTTCTCAGTGAGGTCCCTCTTGTTACTTCCCAACGCCCTAGTGCCCACCCTAACTTCCTCTTCTTGTCCTTTTTTTCACCACACTTACCACCTTTCGCCACAACAGACAAATTGTCTATTATGTTTTTTAACTTATATTCTGTCTTTTTTCCCTTACATTCCCAGAGTGAATGGAGGCAGGGGCCCACATTCACTGCGGCATGCCCATTACTGAGGTAGGGGGTCTTCATTTTGTTCCCTAGTGTTTCAGAGCCTACAACATGCCTGGCACACATCAGGTACTCAATATTTGGTGATTGAATACATGAATGAATGAATGGAATTTTCTGTCCTCCTTTTACTATCTCACTCCCAAGTATATCTTCAGTTTAACCTCTTCCCATTCTGACATCTGCACTTTATACTTCATTTCTCGGCAGTTCCTTAACATTCCAGGGTAAACCCCTACCTGTTTTAAAGGTGTCTCTTGGGGCAGTTTTTGGAGCTCCTCCAGGCAGGGTGAGCAGCTCTTCCTCTGCACATTCATGCCTCTGTCCTAACTGGCCACTACCCCTCTGTCTGTCTATAGGCGGTGAGGACCATGACTTGCTCCTCTTCGTATCCTCAAAACCTCTTATCATCATAGGTGCACAGTCAGTATTTGTTGACTGAATGCAAGAATAAAACATTTTATCCAAATACTGTAGTGATTTATAATTCAGAGAAATACATGGTTTTTCCAAAAATAGTTATTTTCATACAAAATGTACATTCCAAAGATGGAAACCTGTGTTTGCTTTTCATCTATGTTGATAGAGAAAAGCCTCACTGCCCGAGCCTGTGCCATGCATGACCTGTGCACCCTAGGCCCCTCGAGGCAGCTACCAAAAGTGCTGCACAGCTTCCAAATCCAGTCTCTTCTCGATATCTAGGGCCAGTGTCTGTTACCACTGTGGTTTGCTCTATTTGCTTCTCATTCACATAAATTACTGTGATTCTGAAATTGTATTTAATGGTAACTGTTTTTTTTCTCTATGGTATTTTATGGAAATTTATAGTCCTTTGCTCTTAGAGAAAGAACCCGTTCCAGTGTTGACTTCAAGACCACAAATGATTTCAAAACTATGTAAAGATTGACAATACAGTAATAACCTGTCACTATGCATACCCAGATTTTCCCTGTAAACTGTAAATTTACCATGAAATGTTAAATTCTGATGCCAGAGTTCATTAAAAACTAAACTGTTGCCTGCTTTTTGCATCTTTGTTCATTTTCTTAGATCAGAGGCTTTGAAACTGCTTACTGCATTGATAGCATGGGAAAAACAAATGGAGGCTTTGTTGAACTAGGACCCTGCCACAGGATGGGAGGGAATCAGGTAAACCACCTTACTTTGTGTTTAAATTGTTCCGCATTGAGGGCCATCAGGTTTATTGATCACAGAATGATCTTTGTACTTTGGTTTTCGATTTGGTAATTTTGTTTGTTTTGATAAAGTAAAACATTCTGTAAAAAAATTGACAGTGTTAAAACATTCACTTAGATGATGGGAATAATGGCAGTATTGGTTTTCACGTAAGCAGTCAGGATCTAGAATTAATGTCTAATATAAGAGAGTAAAATATATTCCTGTGGGAGTATATGTCACTACCATAACTATGTAAGCCTAGCTCCCTAACAATTTTTTGCAAATATTGTTCACTAATCCTCATCTTTTTGCCAATAGAGTGTTACTGCCAGTAATGTGTATTTCACTCATATATTCTCTTACTTATGTGGGTATGTTTTTGCCTTTTCATTTTCTCACATTGTTGGTACTTAATAAATTGGTGTTAGTGACCCATTTGGTATCTTAGAGACTACAGAACTTAATGATTTCAGTGTTAATAAGGCTCTTTATTAACATCAAAATAAATATAATTTGTCTGTGGACTTACAGTTCTAAACAGAAAAATTATGGAAAAACAAGTTAGTCATTCAATTTAATGATAGGAGTTAAGTTTCTTTCTTTTCAAATGTACATCAGCAGGGAAGATGCCTCTGTTACTTATTTCTGTCTTTTCCTTTTACAGCTTTTCAGAATCAACGAAGCAAATCAACTCATGCAGTATGACCAGTGTTTGACAAAGGGGGCTGATGGATCAAAAGTTATGATTACACATTGTAATCTAAATGAATTTAAGGAATGGCAGTACTTCAAGGTATTCTGCATTTTAACTTCTGAAATATTATATGCTATTTCATTTTCAATAACATCTAGCATGTGGAATTTCAATAAATAAATCTTAAAACCTGCATTCAAATTCACTTGCATTTTCCTCTCATTTAGTCACTTGCATAGGTTTTCCTGAGCACTGGATGACTCATTGTTCTATAATGAGGCATCACTTTTGTTCTCTCGTACAATATTGTCATGTAATGAGGCCACGATGATGTCTATGACGAGCACTGCTAATTTTAGTAATACAAGAAAGTCAGCGTTCTATGAGGCAGTCATCACCATTGCTCACATCAAAATCTGATTTTTGAAATTTAAGTGAATCATTCATTAAAGTAAAATATGTTTATACTATTAAAAAATTTGGTTAATATTTGATATTGTCCAGCAGGTGGAGATAGAGACAAACAAAGAAAACTTAAAATCTAGGCTTTCATTTTTATCATTGTTATGTGCTAAATACAGTGGGATAAACGTAGCTAGTTGCTTGCTTTAATGGTCAAATTTAGTTATTCACGTGACACTGCTGGGGCAGCTTTGTTTCAGCTGTGAGTATTTAAAGCTCTGTGGCAAGTTGAGGATTACAACATATTAATAGATTTATGTATAGTTTTCAAATTCTAGATTTGGCTAACATAAATCAATGTATTATGAAACAAAAAGTGGGGAAAGCTGCCTCACACTAAAAAATCTGTCAACCCTCCATTTTATTTACTCACCCAGTATTTGTTATCATATCCCATCTGTCATGCAAGCAAGCACTTGTTTGCTATGTAATAATGATATGACTTAGCTTAACATTCCCTGTTATTGTCGTTTACAGGAAGTGATAAGCATGTATCACCTGATGATTTTGTTTCTTACAACAAGTTAGGAAGGAGAAGAATAGCATAAACCTTAAAGACTGGAGCATTTATTTTCACAAAGAAAAATGAAATATAATAGCAATAAATAGTAGGGGTCAATGAGAACAATATTAGCAAAATAGTAAAAGAAGGCTAACACACCAGAAACTACATCAAGAAGGAATTGACCAAAAAATGACACATAACATGTTTTAGGTATTTTAAAGGACACAGCACTGAATATACATTTGTGTGTCAGATATTACTAAATATTCACTTGGGGACCAATGATGTGTTAGACTGTAGGGGAGTTCAAAAATGTAGCTAAAGCACACTATTATATAATGGCAGAGAAGAAAGAAATGCAAAAATAGAGATAAGCAAAATGCCATAGGACAGAAAAGAGTGATTCATGGGAGGAATTACTGCTGAGGAGTTTCATAGAGGAAGTGTCATTGCACAAGTCCTGAAGTGTAAAAAGGCTTTCCATGGAAAGTAAATAAGAAAGACTGGATGAGCAAAGACGTGGCATGAAAACATGTAGAAAATTCAAAGAATTGCATTTCATTTGGTATTCCTAAATTGTGCTTGGAGGAAAGAGTACCGAACTTCATATTTTAAGTTTTGGAGAGGGACTGACCTTCTTTGAGAAAGGTAGTGATGGGAAACAATGGCTACTTTTAGGAAAATAATCTGGAAATGTAAGGTATGGACTGATGAAGCAACAAGATCAGCTTGAGCAGCAGTTCTCAAACTTTGTCTTCTGGATTCCCTTTACACTCTTAAAAATTATTGAACTCCCCCACCCCCAAATTGCTTTTGTTTATGTAGGTTATCACTAACAATATTTCCAGAATTGGAAATTGTCTGAGAAATTTGTAAAATTTTTATATATTAATTCATCTAAAAGTAACAATAATATACCTACTAAACACTAATTTAAATGACATTTTTAGTGAAAAATAACTGTTTACCCACAAAAAATAGTGAGAAGAATGAAATTCTGTATTTTTGCAAATCCCGTTAATGTATGGTTTAATAGAAGAAGACAGCTGGATTCGGATTCTCATACTCCTGCTTCATTCGGTCTGATCCGATATGTTGCTTTCATTCAATATATGAGGAAAACCCAGCCCCACACAAGCATACAGTTCGTAAAGAGAGGGAGTAATTTAATAGCCTTTCATATAATTGTGGCTATTTTTTTATTGCACACCACAACTTAATAAGTAGTAGTTTCTTAAAACTTATTTGCAATGTAGACTGGTATCCTTGAGCATTGTACCTCATTATATGGAAGTACTTGATACGTACTTCCCACTTCATCTCATAGAATTTTTTTTTAAGTATATCAGGGGTCAAGATTGAATAAAATTAATGTTTTACTGCTTCATCAGTGACATCCTAAAGTGAAACCGGCATTTACTTTTTAACTGTGTGTGGCAATGAACAATACAACTACAGGTACTAGCATAGTTTGATTCATGCTAAGGCACCATCAGTTTTACTCACCATTGCTTTCGCACCATCAGTATAAATGTCGCTAAAGTGAAAAGGCAATGGAGTCTTTGTATTATTATGAAAATAGTTTTGGCCTTACAGACCCAATCCTGGATAGCTGAGGACCAGACTTTGAGAAGCTCTGAGCTATATTGAAGAAACCTACAACATATGGTGAGGGCCAAACCAGGGCATCTGCAGTGGCGATGGGAAGGAATATAAACCAGAGACATTGCACATATCCATCCTTAGTGACTGGTGTAATGTGAATGAATGAGGGAAAGTGCGGTATTTCCTAAGGACTAGAAAGCTGGGATTGTCATTAGCCAGGATAGAAACAAGAGACATAGATTTGGAGGGGCAGATAATGAATTTAGGTTTGTACACATTGAATGTGAGATACCAGCAGTATATTGTGACTTAACAATGAAAGATCTTAGGACTTGCAAAACTGACAATCAAGAGAAACCCAAAGTCTGAGGTGTGGTTGATAAGCTTGTCCATTTGCTTAAACTGTTTCCTTATGAAAGCCAAGTGATGATTTCTGATGTCAGTGCTATCAAGAGTCCAAATTTGAAACTTTTTTCTTACTGTGTTTTCCAGAACCTGCACAGATTTACTCATATTCCTTCAGGAAAGTGCTTAGATCGCTCAGAGGTCCTGCATCAAGTATTCATCTCCAATTGTGACTCCAGTAAAACGACTCAAAAATGGGAAATGAATAACATCCATAGTGTTTAGAGAGAATAAAAGAAACAAATAACCTACCTACTGACAAGTAAATTTATACAGGACTGAAAACCGCCTGAAACCTGCTGCAACTATTGTTATTAACTCTGTACAGCTCCAAACCTGGAACCTCCTGATCAGTTTGAAGGACATTGATAAACTGTGATTTTACAATAACATTATCATCTGCAGTTACTGTTTACAAGACTGCTTTTACCTTAAACTTTGTAGATGTTTACATCTTTTTGTTTTGTTTTAAGATGATGTTGGTAATTTGTGCCTTTAGCTCTGTTTTATTAGACAGAGTTAAAGCATGTTGTCTTCTTTGGGATTACACTCAGGGGTCTGAAAGGCAGTTTGATTTTTACTTTTAACACACTTGAAAAAAGGTTGGAGTAGCCAGACTTTCATATATAACTTGGTGATTATCAACCTGTTGTGTCTTTATTTAATTTTACATCTTTTTGAAGCACTGCCACAGGTTATTAGCCAAGGTGGCCTTCCTTCACAGTCATGCTGCTTTTTTGAAAGGTGAATTTCAACACATTTAGTGCCTCTTTCATTTCTCAGTATATATTTCAAGAGCTTGTGATGAAATTTGTAGAATGGTAATGATGGACTTGTCACCTGTATGGGGAATACTTTTACTACTCAGAAATGAATTTATGTGCTGCCATTTGCTATAAAGTTGAATGTTGTATGGCTTGAAAAAGAAATGACAATATGGAACATCCCAAGGCTATCCCATAGGGTTGGAAGTTGTGTAGTATTCACTCCCTTACCTACTGGCATTCCCAGTGCCCTCTGTCCATACCTACTTCTAGGATTGCAAAGGAGTCTTCCAACTAGAGAAAAATTGTCCACTGACATTTGGGATTTACTTTTCTCTAATACCTGTCACTATAGAGAACTATTATCAGTTGTTATTGTTATCCCTTGAAAGGGAGGGTGACAACAACAACACCGCTATAAACACGTCAAAGGTTCATTCTGACTGAGGTAAGACTTTCCAAGCCCTTGTTAGATTAGGCCTTATAAAACTTGTGTGCATTATAACCTAAGCTGTGCAACCTGTGAAGCCAAGAGTGAATTGATGTTTCATTTATATTTTCATCCAAATGACATTATCTGCATGTTTTTAAAATTTAAAAACAAAGGACTATTTAAAAATACAGTTTATTAACAAATGTGAACTACTTTCTGTTAGATTAGGTGTTCCCTAGTGTTTCTTAATTTCTTTTTAGGAAGTGTATTTTTATTAATGTTTTTCCAGTGAACAGAAGATTTATTTGGATTTAAATATTTACTAAGACAGTCCCTTTTACGAAAACCAAATATTGCAAATGGTCAATTCAATTTTAATTTCTCAAAAGATACTCTGTTGTTACCCAAAAGATTAAAATGCCTACATTGAGTGCTTTAAAAAAAAAAAAACAAAAAAAAAACTGTGATGATGTGAGCAGAATGGCAAGTAAGTTAAGCATTTTTGATCCTGTAATCATAGTATCATTACAATGAAAGGAATTCACAAACTACTGCCAGAGGAAGTTTGTTTTTTAATTTCAGAGGGAAGTATAACCTATGAATTTGTTTCTTCCAAGCTTAGCTCTTAAATTTGGAGAGTCAAAGTTAAACGTCCTCAACAGTTTTATTTATAATTTTGAATTGTCAATTTGTATTTTGCTACTGATCTGTGATCAGCCATTTTAACTTTCATCTCTAGGGATGTTTAACATTTATAATTGCAAAATAAATCAACTATAAAAAAAAACTTTAAGAGAGAATTGGTACTTTAATTACTTGTGTGTTTGCAAATAGGCTCCATTTTCCATGTTGAGTAGATTATAACCTTATTAACTATGCATAGGCCTAAGAAAGGTGGCAATGAACTGTGCATGTAAATTTTAAATGGGTACTTTGTGCAATTCGTTAAAAGAAGATACTCTATGAATATGATTCTATATATTGAAATCAGAAAACTTACCAAACAAAAACATCAGAAGCTGCTGCCATAATGACTATTTTCTACTGTAGGCTGCTTTGGAAATAATTCCCATTTCCTTGCTTTGTAAGTTGATAATATCACTATGCATTTCTACACATTTTATAAATTTGATTTATGCAGATTTTGATACACTGTATGTTTCTGTAGAAATTGTATAAATATTCAAAATTTTATTAGGGTAAATTTGAGAAACTTATGTATATCTTAATTCTGGGTTGCTTGTTTTTTAGGTGACAAAAAATAAAATATTGTATTTTAATTCATGGGTTTTTTTGGTGCTTGTAATCATTTCAAATCTAAACACTGCACATTTGAAAGAATTACTTGATTTTACTATTTACAAGACACACTTAATACCTAAAGTATTATAGACCACAGTTATTAGTTGAGTAAGTGCTTCAGTGTTGCTTAGCATTCTGTTACACATGCTTAGAATACTCAGAGCTTATGTATCTGTCAGAAGGAAAGGTTTACTTTTACCTGTTAGCCTATGTATACCAATTTTTTAAGTTTATACTTTTTTAATTACAAAAATTACCCCAGCAACATATATCCTTCTTGGCAGTATATGCTACTATAGAATTACCTGTTAGAAGCAAAAATGCCTTTAAATCAAATTTGTTTACAACCTGACAGATCAGGTTAAGTGGAGAAAAATGAAGAGAAGGGAAGCCCATCACAATGAAATTAGAAATAGTCCACAGGACCTTGTGGTACAAAACACATTTCAAGAGAAGATACGGTTGCTAACAGATTCAAGTAAGTGGCTGTGTTGATTTGGGAAACTTTCTCTCAACTGACCTGTCTATTGTCATATCTCTCAATTCTTAGCTGCTGTAGAGGTAGACTAAGAAATTTTTAAAAGTGACATAGCACCAGACTAGAATAAATGGGAGTTCCTTTATTTCTTAAGTTTCTCATAGGGATCTTGGAATATATTTCATTTCTGGACATAAAGTAATTGGGAAAAAAATCCATATATAATTCAATGGAAAACATGACAAGTACTTCACCAGAGAGTCAGCTATCTAACAGGTCAATAGTTTAGGTATGTGAAAATTATTCCATGTGAAAGCACTTTTTAAAACGTGTTGAGCATTATGAAACTGTGTTTTCAATCCTTGGATAGAACTAAGTGCATCTTGAAGAATATCTAAGATATTGTATCCTTTAAATTACCTTTAAATGAAATTTCTCTTGGGCTTTTGGTTTGAGCAAATCAAACAGCTGTATTAAGAATTACCCAAAACAAAACTAAAACTTTGAGTAGAAAATACGGATGAATAGACTTCCACTTCCGGCTATAATTGGAAGTAGACTTATCTTGCTACCCTAAACAACAGTTAATACTGGACAAAATATATGAAGCAACTGTTTTCAGGAATTGGATACTAGTCAAAGCAGACTGGTATCTAAAAGAAAGGAAATACACAAGGTGAACCCCAGGTTCACCACGTCTGTCTCCTTGGGAGGACATTCCCAAACATGGTACAAGGAATGCAGCTCAGAATGGTGATACTGCTGAACTGAGGAGGCAGAGTGGAGGTTTCCGGCTGCTGAAACAGCTAGCATCTACAATCCAGGTTATTGGAGGGGAAGTACCCTTGAGTGTCAGGAGAGCTCTACAGGAATTTTCATATCAGTGCCATTTGCAATAGCAAAAACCCTGGCAGCAACCTAAATGCCCATCAACAGGAGACAGGATGAATTATGATATAATCACAATGGAGTATTACAGAGATGAATATGAATAAACTGTTATAAACAAGTTTTAGGTGTACAGGATTGAATGAAAAAGGCACTTCCCAAAACACTTTATTCATCACTGTTTACCAATATCAAAAGTGACTAAAAGTAAACATACAGTATGTTATACATTTATACATGATAGGTTAAATAACTTGTCCAAGTTCACAAATTTAGTACTGGGGTCAAGGACATAATCAAGTCCAGTACTCAATATCCCTCTAACTCTGTGGGATGAGTATTTATTTGGTGCCAGGAAAAACTCTCCTAAAGAATGTATGTTTTCCACATAACTTACTTAATTTTTCTCTCTACCTAGACTATCAAGAACCTCAGGGCTGGGAACAGCGGCTCACACCTGTAATCGCAGCACTTTGGGAGGCCAAGGGAGAGGATTGCTTAAGCCCAGGAGTTTAAGACCCGCCTGGGCAACCTAGCCATGTGTGGTGGCACACATCTGTGGTCCCAGCTGCTTGAAAGACTGAGGTAGAAGGATCACTTGAGTCCGGAAGCTGAAGGCTGCAGTCAGCTAGAAATGAATCTAATACTCCATCATGGTATCTGTATTAACCCATGTATATTGGCATGTATACTTTTAGCTAATATTTATCGAGCATTTGCTATTTCTTGCCACCAGGATAAGTGTCTTAAACGTATTACCTCATTTAATCACCAAAAACGTTCAAATTCTACAGATGAGGAAACCGAAAGGTTACATGAGTTGTCTGATGTTACAAAACCAGTAAGAAAAACAGAGCCCTATTCAAGCTCGTGCTTCACTACCTTGCTTTTAATTTCTTTCATAACCTTGTTTTTTTCTCTTTGTATATTTTGTTCTTGTTTTTCTTTGTATAAGCCATTAATCTTTCTTTTGGAAAAAACGTGGAGAATCAAAGAATTACACAAATATGAATGGATTATGGTATTTTACTATCTCTTACCTGCCCGAGGACAATGTCCAAGTTAATTGTCCCACCTTTCTAATGAAAGACTAGATGATATAAAGGCCATTTCCAGTTCCAAAATTTAGTGCTACATAAGCTGAAAAGTTATTTTTCTTTCCTTTTAATGCGACAGTCTATTGCACTCCTGAGTCACTATTCTGTAGATGTGGCAACACCCAGGATGAGGATCACTAGAAGTCTGCACTGTTAACTCTTGAAGAATAAAGGCCCAGGAGCACAATGAAGTTCCATTGAAACATTTTTATTTACCTTTGCTGCAGGATAAGTTGAGTTTCCAATCAGGGCAAGGAGGGTTTCTGACCTATAAAGACAATGGTTAGCTGTAAAGTATATATAAACTTTTATTAACCTTGGACCTGACTCAAGTAAAAATTATTAAACTTTTATTTACCTATACTATTTAATTTATAGAAGTGGCAAACTAGTGACCTTTGGGCAGAATCTGACCTATAGACATGTTTTGACCCCAAAATTGGAATTCATTGCCAATACTGTATTTAAAATTCAGAATTCAACAGAGTTCTAGTTCCACTTGAAAATTTGAGAGATCTGGGAATCCTATATTCACATTTCCATCTAGCAATGGGACTGAGCTAAATGGTGGCTATCCCCTTTAACCTGGTTATTTGTACATTTACAAACATGCATAGAACACTGTTTCTTGCATTACAGACAAAGCAGTATACAAAAGTGAAAGTTTTACTGCTCTCACAGAGCTTACTTTCGAAATGTTCTTCACTTCACCACATCCAGTCCTTTTCCCTGGCTAGTCTCTATAGGTCTTGGCATGTCCTAATGTCAATACTCTGCCTTTCTCTAAAACTGTCAGTCTCCAACAGGAATCTCATGAAGAACTAATCCAAACATGGTGAGGTATGAAATTTCATTTTTAAAGGACTAGATCTTACACAGTGGCATAGCAGCTCCTTTAGCTTTCTTGATTTTATTCCCCAAGAAATAAAATCATTACTGCTTGGTAAAGCATTTTTAGTGATATATTTAGTAATAAAAATCCAGGTTTAAGATAATGCTATTTTTCTACTATTGTAAGACAATCTTACGATTTACAGTAAGTGAAACTGGTAAAAAATACAAAAAAAAAAGCATACTTTCCTCTATTGATCAAGTTTGCAGTGAGTGCTTTGATATATAAGAGAATTTAGGAAATTCTAACCCAGTGCCCTGCTTTTATAGATTAAAAGACCAAAAGTAGTGGTTGACATTGGGAAGGAAACGTGAGCCCCTACTTCAGTCCTTGCACCAAAATTAATTCCAGAAGGATCAAAGGTTTAATCAAAAATTTAAAAAAAGAAAACAAAGGATAATTGTTTTTATAGTCTTGTAGATTTATGATCTTTGAGTGGGAAGGACCTCACTGGAAAAGTTTTCAGTGAAAGAATTGCTAAATTTGCCTACATAAAGAAATCTCTGCATAAAAAAAGCATCATAAACTCAAAAAGGTCATTTTCCTTAATATATGGTATTACCAAAAGCCATTAATAAAAAGACCAATGAGAAAAGACCACAGGAAATAATACAAATGGTTTTTTCTTCTTTCTTTTTTTTTGAAACGGAGTCTTGCTTTTGTCACCCAGGCTGGAGTGTAGTGGCGTGATCTCTACTCACTGCAACCTCCACCTCCCGGGTTCAAGTGATTTTCCTGCCTCAGCCTCCCAAGTGGCTGGGATTACAGGTGCCTGCCACTACACCCGGATGATGTTTTTGTATTTTAGTAGACACAGGGTTTCACCATTTTGGCCAGGCTGGTTTCGAACTCCTGACCTCAAGTGATCCGCCTGCCTCAGCCTCCTAAAGTGCTGGGATTATAGGCATGAGCCACCGCGCTAGGCTCCACAAATGGCGCTTAAACATAAAAAAAAGAAACAACTAAACTCATAATAGAAAACATTTTATCTATATCAGAATAACAAAGACTAAGATGTTTGAGAACTATTATGTTGCTGAGATGAGGAAACAGGCACTCTAAAACATTTCATTGCTTAGCATAGTACAACTTCTATTGACAAGCAGTTTTGTTTAGCAGGCTCCGTTAACAAAGCACCAGAGCAGTTTCTGGCATATATTAAGTACAGGTTTTAGCTAGTATAATTAGCACATTTTTAAATGTGCATGTTTTTTGGCCCAGCTACTTCACTTGTAGGTCTTTTTTCACATGTGACATCACATGGTTTTGTTTTTTCAGACCAAGTTTTGGTTTGTTGCCCAGGTTGGAGTGCAGTGGCACAATCACAGCTTATAGCCTGGACATCCCAGGCTCAAGTGATCCACCTCAGCCTCCCAAATAGCTGGGACCACAGGCATGCACCACTATGTCCAACTAATTTTTGTATTTTTGGTAGAGACAAGGTCTATGTTGCCTAGACTAGTCTCAAACTCCTGGGCTCAAGTGATCTTCCCACCTCAGACTTCGAAAGTGCTGGGATTATAGGCGTGAGCCACCATACCCAGCAACGGTGTTCTTAAAAAATATTTATATAAAACAAAAACAAAACAAAAACTATAATTATCCTATTATCCTTAAGGAACTGGTT